CGGTCTGGGCGCGTCCTTCAAAAAATTCCATGGAAGTGATTGAAAAACATTTGCTTGTTACTTTAGCTTGCAGCTTTTTCAGCCAACTTGAAGCTAAGTACTCTACTAAGTAGTCACAAATTGTGAGCGTTGCTTGGGCTGTGTAATTTTATGGAGTTCTTTTATACCAATCACTTTTTGAAATGATAACGGACAAAAAGCCTTATTGTTAGCCCTTCATTCAACAACGGAAGCAAAATTTATGATAGCAGACTAACAATCGAATAAACTGTGGCAAACGCTAATTCGATAATTGAAATAAGATGTAGAGAAAGAGACAACTGTTCATAATATAGATCAAACGAGACAAATATTTTAGGTGAAATCCAAAGGTGTCAAACAATCCGAAGGCCAACCACCTGCCAAAGATGTCAATCGAAAAGATGAAATGAAATGATTGACCAGAGGAACTATCAAGAACTAAATGGACTTAGATAACTAATTTAGCACCATGACATACCTCTTGTAAAAAGTAAATAAACTGCACTGGTATTGATTTGTTAAATTTAAAGTACTAGAAGAAAAGTTTTTAAACCCAAATGATTAGCTCGGTCCAGCCGATTCTAGCACTAAGGTTAAGGCACTGATTGTTTATCGTACTAAGTTTTCCGATAGGTATAGCTGCGTTCATCTTCTAAAAGTTTTATATGTTCATCTGCTCCGTTTACTCATTTCCTTTGTCCTGAACTCCGCCTCGACATATATGGTCAATCATGACCCCACCCATTTTCGTCACCACCGTTCTCTTCCTGCTAGAATTTTTTGACCCCATATCACTTCCCTAATCTTGGCTCGAATAAGAAACTAGCCGTTGTTTCGTCGCTCGCTTTTTCTTTCCGCACTCCGTCGGTACTGTTTCCGGATTCGCCTCCGGTATGTCGTCTTCTTCGCCGACTATTGCTTCCATCCCGATCGCTTTTCCGCTCTTCTTCCTCGTCGCCGACGTACTCGCCTCCTCTTTCTGTTCCACCGCATTTTGCTCTAAAGTCGCTCGCCCCGTATCGTTGATTCTGCCTGTGTGTCAGGTAACGATACCAATGGCAGTTAGCTGCGGATTCTCCTTGTAGCCAGCGGTTGGCTATCGCTGTCAGACTATGACTCCTGTAGTGCTTGCTCGCTTATGGATCTTGCTCCGCCTCGTTTCGCTGTGATGCTCGATTTCTCCCGCTTTTTAGATTCCGCAATCGCTATTTTCTTGCGTAGTTCCGCCGGCGTTGGTGGCTTCGCAAGCCCTGAAGTTCTGCGACTCCGGATTTCCCAAGCAAGGTACCATTATTCATTTTATCGCCCCGTAAACACCTCGTAAGTTTCATTTCGTTCTTTTTTGAATTCTCCCTCCATTGCATTGAGTACCCTCGGCTAACGTGACTCTCCCAAATCCAAATGTGGTCTCCGTTTGTGAAACTCCTCCTGTCCCGTCTCCCCAAGGCAAAGGTATAAGTTCAAAATTAAGGTTCGTTCCGATGCTAACCTGTTCTGTTCCGTCTAATTCTTCCGGCAGCGCCGCGATCTGTGTAGCGTCCAGCGTATCCGCGAAATAATAATTTTTAGGATTTATTGAGTGCTTCGCAACCATTCCGTACTGGAAGCAATTTAACCAGAATTCCCATAAAATGGGGGTTCTGCATTTTTCGCCGGCGAAAATGATACTATTCTAAGTGGATTTTCACCCCACTTGGGCCTGCCGACTGCGCCATGTGGGAAACGCTGATTCGATAAAGTTAAGTTGTAAAGAAAGAGACAACTGTTTATAATACAGATCAAACGAGAGATGTTTTAGGTGAAATCCGAAGGTGTCAAACAATCCGAAGGCCAACCACCTGCCAAAGATGTCTATCGATAAGATGAAATGAAATGGTTCACAAGAGGAAATATCAAAAATTAAATGGACTTAGATAACTGATTTAGCACTATGACAAAACAGTCTTTTTTAATTTATCGTAAATTATCTAGTTGGGAAAAAAAACATTGGGTTGACTGATTTTGCTTCCTTAAATTTGAAAAGCCAAACCCCTTGATGAAATTTGACCCAGAAATTGCAGTGGTTACGAATTAAAAGAATATATCTAGTTTTTTTCTTTGAAATCTACATCAAACGTTCATTCTTGTAACCATTTGATTGGTCAAACTTTAAAAATTATCAATGACGTAAAATTACGCAAAAAGGTTTTTTGCTTCTATTTCAAACTTAGTTAGTTGCAGATTGAAAATCTGCGAACCTAATTGTAACCATTCTGAATGTTTTGTTCCAAAAAGTTTCCTTTATAATACTCTTCAATAAATCAATTCTTTGCTTATTTCTATTTCAAGTTTTATTTTTTTTCTATTTTTTATATGTAACTTCAACATTAGTAAAATTTCTAATGAAATCTGGCATTGTTTAAATATTAAATCTAGACAGCCTAATAAAACTCTTGACTAAACTGCCCGAGCGAAGAAAAACTGTGAGTCAAAAATGTTTTTCAGGCGTACAATTAAAAACCAACACCTCAAAAACTGCCCGAGCGAAGAAAAACTGTGAGTCAAAAATGTTTTTCAGGCATACAATTAAAAACCAACACCTCAACACCTTAAAAACCAACACAGTAATAAAAGGTTAGTTTTTCCTACTGAAAAAGGCAACATGTTAAAACCTCTTGTTAGGGCGCGAGAAAAAAGGTGTGCATTGCAAATTACCAAATGCGGCTTTAAATTTCATCAATTTTTTTAATAAAAACCTTTATTTTTTAAAAAGTTTTTATCTATGGAAAACAGATTGGGTCTCCTCTACATGCTGAGAGCAGCCGCATTGAACATGTAACATATTCGGGACATTTTGGTATGAAATTCTTTTCGGAAGGTTTTTTATGCTCGTGGAGTTATGCTCGTGGAGAAAATAGCTCAGATTGTCTCAAAGCAGATAAAAACCTTACCACCTTACTTTTCCCACCCAGTGATTTCATAATTTACTGAAATTGAAAATTGATGGTTAAAATTGATCTGATTTTTGCGGGGCAATTGAATTCAAGCTGAAGATCCTCAAAGTAAACTCATTTTTGTATTTAACAATTTTTCATGTTTCCTTTGGCTAAATTAACACGTCCACACGTAGAATTGTCAATTTGCTAATGATTACTTTAACTTGCATGTGAAATTCTATTAGAATGAATCACGCTTCATGTTTCAATGAAGCGAATATAAATTTTTTTGCACAATTAAGCTCAATTAAATTGAAAATTACTTTGAAAATTGAGAAATAAATCAAAAATTACTTTCATAAAGAGCTTAATACCCTTTGAACAAATTATGTCTGTCAAACAAAAAAAATATTTTTGACACCGGTAAATCAATCAAGTCCCAAGCAACGGCACACAATTGGGCCACAGATATCAGGATAGAAGACAGTCTTCTATGCCTTCCTATGGATAACCAAAATCAACAACCGGGAAAGAAAGAAAGAAAACGACTCCGAAGCCAATCCAGCATCTTCGGACAAACCCTCAGCATGAAAAAAGCTAAAAACAGCTGAGAATTTCTCAGGAACTAGCTTGATCCAGACTTACTAAATGAAAGGCAAGCGATCACAAACCTTTGAGAGAGAAATTCATTCTATCTTCCTAATTGACTATTAAACTATTCAATGGAAAAACTTTACGAAAAACCAATATGTGCAATCCTTTATATTACAAACAAGAAGACAAAGTTGTTATAGACAATGCTACCATTCCCGGTTTTAAAGTCAAACCTGAAGTACGGAATCGACAAACCCTGAAAAAACAAACCCTGGAATCAAGTTGGAAGTGACCATAGTTCCGTCGGAGAACTTGAAGAAAGTTAGATCCTCTGCAAAGACATCTAGGCCGGTGAAGCACAAAGGAGTAAAGACCAGACATCAACCGAAGAGATTGAAGTGACGAAAACTTACCCAGGTTCATTAAATTTCTTGAGATTAAGACGAAATGTTGGTCCGCCTAAGTTCTACGGTTCTCGTATTTGTATTTTGGGTGTTGTAGGTTGCACAGTCTTCACAGGTTTGGGAGGCGCCGGCAGACAACTCAATACTCTTGAGCAGCAAAGACACCACTGGAGACTCAATTAAGGAAAAGAATAGAGCGTGGTTACAATTTCTTGTGGAACAGACAACCAGTACAGCCTCAGAAAACATTATTCGGTCTCCAATCTTTTGGGGATATCCAGGAAAAAAAAAACAATTTTCATCCAATTAGAAGTCCTGGTTCTACTAACAATAACTCTACCATCTTCAGACACCAAAGCTAATGCAAGTTTCGAAATCGATTCGAATATCGATAATATTTCGTTAGGGTAAGTGGATGGATTCTCAAATGAACATTTACCCTTAACCCAAAGTTTAACTGAGCCGTCTTTCTTCTAAAGTCACTCGCTTCGTGGCATAAACTGCAGTCTGTCAGTTAACAGCAGTTATTCAATTATTTAAATAAACTGCTCCTAAATAATTAGAAAAAAAATCATGAATTCTTTCTTTGTAAGTTAATTTCTTGTTAATATACATTGTTGTGTTTCATACAATTTGTTTCGATTCTTAAACCTCCCTCTGGAAAAGAAAAGGTATAACTGTGTAGTTTTAGCCTAGAAATTGATCAAAATTTTTCCTGGTAAGAAAAAATGTTGTGATTGTGATATTATATTGCTTTTAAATATAATTAAAAGCAATAGAATATCGCAATATTTACTTTAACTGGTAATGTCTGACCATCAGCTTAATTTAACGAACTCCGTTAGAGCGAGAAGCTGCAGTTGTACTCAATTGTTAGATTTAACTTACGTTTAATTCAGTTTTTGTCTTGCCTCTTACTCATTTTAACACTAGTTTAGATAAGTCAGCAGAAAATTTTATTAGGTTGTGCCCCCCCCCCCCTCCCTCTTAATACTTTCCTGATAGCACACTTTAATTATTTTTATCGTTCCAATAATTCAATCACTTCTCAACATACAATTTTAGACCAAGTAAGTGAATCATCGTCTTTTTTTGAAAGTATAAACTACCACACATGCAGATAACTTCAGTTACCATACATGCTATTCAGACTTCGAACACACATAATAAAACACCTGCTTAGACTAACAATAATAACTTTTCATATCACATTAATGTGAATTCGTTTTAGAGATGTGACGTTTTACACAAAAAGTTACTGATGCAAAAAAAGCACACCTAACCTTTCGATATGCTACACCACCGCACCACAAACGTAAACGACTATTAAGGTCTAATTTCGATCAGTTAAATTGATCAAAATTTTAAATTTCCACTAAGATTTGTTATCAGAAAAGTCTAAAAAGGAAATTATTTTGACATCTCAACATGGAAGAGCTGAAGCTTCGGGCGGTGGAGTTGGAAAACAAATTGACAGCAATTGAGTACTCAGTAATTCATTTCCAACTGGGAAATTCGAACACTGCGAACCAGAATCAAAGTCAAGTCGAACAACGCGATCTACAGGTCATTGCCAAATTCAAGGTGAGTTCATTGGTTTCCTGACTTTTGTGAGCTAAAAACTTTCATTTAGATTCGCAAGACGTCTAATTAAAACCATCGTGTCATATAATCTTGTTTGGACCAAACAAATCATCATAGCCAGTCTCACAGAAGGAAGTTTCGGCCCCTGCCGCTCCTCCTACGTTTGGTATTTGGCCCCCTTCCCCCACCCTGCCTGACCATTCAAGGATTCCTCCTTTAACCTAATTTTATGACATGAAATTTTTTGAAAAGCAAACCTTACACCTGCCCGCGCAAATGCAGTTTTAGGATATAAACTTACTGTAACAGAAACTTTCTCTATAGGCGAGTCTCGGAAGTAAAGCCTGACAGTCGTAAAGATAGTGGGTTATGTATCAACTCACTACATTTTAGACTGAATTTTTTGATGCGTCACGCTCATTTTTTTTGTTAATGAGCGCCAATTTGGAGTCTAAAACTTGCACATGGCACCAGGGGCGGATCTAGGATTTTCTCGAGGGGGTGGGGGCGGATTTTCAAAAAAAATTTCGAAAATTTTGTCGAGCTTTTTTTTAGGCCAACCGAATTGATTTTTCGAGCTCTCCCTGAGCACAGTTTAGTCCCTGTTTTGGGCAAATTTTCTGTGCCGCAGCCAAAATTTTGTAAAAAAAAAACAGTCCAAAAATGCGTTTTGAGGCACTTTTTAGAAAATTTTGACCAAAAAACCGCGTTTTTGGCGCGCACTCCCCCATTAAAATAAGTATATTTTGGCGCCCAAGGCGCCATTAGAAAATTTTTAGGGCTGGTCGGCCAAAAATGGGTTTCTTAAAAAGTACCAAAGGGGGGAACCTTTGGGTCGGCTGGGGGTCGAATCCTTGAGGTGGGGCGTCCGCCCCGCCCCCCTAAATCCGCCCCTGCATGGCACCACTGTTGAAGCAACCGAAATTATTTAAGCTGTAGCAGACTAGAAGCTAATCTTCAAATGAGCGCATTTTTTTGTTGAGACTTGTACATTTGAATAAAGTGAAGAATATATACGCTCAGGGTGTTTTTTAGACCAATTTTCAAAATAATTATTCTCTCAGAGATCGATCCCTGAATCTTCGTAAGTCCTGCTGGGATCGCACAGCACTGCATTAATTTGACATCGGTCCAGCTAAACTGCTCGTTTTATTGTTTGGTGCTCCAAGTGTAACGCACAATCTTTACGCATGGTGAATCATTCCGCTCTACTCATTGTTCCAAAATGAATTGACGAAAGCTAATTAGTTTTATTAACTCTATAGGCGACTCAAATTGTAAAAAATTAAAATTTGTTGTTATCAGCCTGAATTTCATAGTTTGTCAATATTTCACACGGAGGTGGAGCGGGACCGAAACACTTGGTTACAACAAAAGGGTAGCACTGCAAGCTACCAAACAGAAAGTGAGATGAAAATATTAGGGGCGAAAAAAAAATGGAAAAAATCAAGGTTTCTTGGAAAAACGAAATATTCAATTTCAGAAAAGCAGACAGGCCATTAGCATTAAACAAGCTTTTAGTGTTTTCAGAGCGTTAACTGAGCCAAAAAATAAACGTATATAGATGCCTATTAATCCAAGAACAAAAATTACAGAACAAAGTATTGTCACAAAAAGTTTTTGTGCAATTAATTTTTTGAATTTCAATTTTTCTACTTCAACTGACCTGTTTTATTCAAATTATTTAAACTAACTTGATTCCGTTGAGCCGATGCAAAATAATTTTTTTAAACAAAAAAACATAAGCCGAAATCTTCTAGCCCGATTAAAATTTCGAAGCGATAAAAAATACAAAAAAAAAACGGAAAATATATCAGTCAGGGTTAGTTAACTTAAAAACTACAGGAGGTAATAAACGACATTCGAAACTTCAATGAAAGTTGCTTAAAGCGCAGTAATAATCCGTGGTGTGGTGTGGCAACTAAGCTGACAAAAAAGCCGAAAAACTATAGTCAGACTATTCAATTTTTCCCGGAAAAAAATCACTTTCAGACACTGAAAATATAACAAAGTCCGACTGGGACTCAAGCTCAGACCATAGAGTGCAAAGCAACCGCATTACCTCCATACCAAAGAGGAAGGGGCCTGGAAGTTACTAAGATTTGATAATATAGGAACATCAATTTCTTAAATTTGTAAAAATGTTGTTTAAAGGCAAAAAAGTTTAGTTCCTGATTACAAGACATTTGCTGTAACAAGTAGATCTTACCAAAAATATTCGAATTTAGTAATTGGGCAGTCAGAATGTTCAGGGTCTTAGTATTTAGGAATTTTTTAGGCATCAACTTGTAAACTTCAAAGTTTGAATATCAATTATTTACAGGAAACTGTATAGTAAGCATGAATAGATTTCTTTATTCAAGCTTATAATTTTGTTTGCTTCGAAACCAATAACTCTGAAAAAAATCAACCTTTTGACAGAGTTTTTGCATTTTAAGTGTTGCCAATAGCTACAAGCCAGCTATAAAATGAACTAAATTTGCAAAAATATGAAAATTTTAACCATTTTTTTCCTAATAATCCTACCCTCATTTTAACTGTCATTTTTAAAGATAATTTTAGCGTATATTATTGCAAAAAAAAACGTGTATAAAGTCAAAATGAAATGGTTTTTGAGAGGTGTTAATTTGCCCCTTACACGTTCAAATAACAAAGATAATGCGTGTTAACTATCCAAGTTGATCAAAATAGCAAACTTAAGACATTTTTCCAATACAAAACAATCATAGATAATTTTTTTTCTAATTTTGAGTTAATGCGTCAAAAACCTTCAGTTTGTTTAAAAATCCATCAAAAAATTCCATTTGAAATGTCGAAAATTGTCCGCAGTAAAAAACCAACCCGAGCACAAACTGTATGTCACTTTTTTCGGATTTTAAAACTTTTTTGATTTTGAAATAAAAAAACATTAAAAACATTAAAAACATTTTTTCAGAAAGAGTTTCCAATCTTGAGTTAAACAAATTTCTTATGCGTGCTTTTATCAATATAGTCATCCATACAATTCCAATGGTAAAAAAATTGCGCAACTTGTATTTTCCACAAAATTTGTATTTGAAACAATAGTCTGGCAAATCAGCTATAAATTTGCAACTCTACCAAGGTCTTTAAAACTTGTAGTAATTAAGTATTAGACTTCTTTAAGTGGAAAAATTTAAAACGAAACGTTGCTTCAATTGTTGTTTGATGAGTAGTGTATTAACTGCCTTCTATCAGAAATAACAGAACTTTTATAATAGCACCATCGTTGAATGAAGACTTAAGAGTTAATAAAAAGTCAAACACAACGTCAAACTAGTCAGCAATGTTTTTTATCGAAATTTTTTATACAATTTTTCGAATACGTTTCTATAGTATATTTGTAAAAGAGTTTAAATAGCCCCATCAGTAACCAACAAAAATTGACAAGATAAAAGAACAAAAAAAAGATGAAAGCTTTGGACAGCCAAACTCATAAGCTGAATTTTGTTTTGAAAGAATCAAAAATGATCAAAAAATGTTTTCAGTCCCTTCAAAGCCATGTCATGTCTCTACGTGTGCAGTACACCAATTTCACCCGCACATCAACTTCATTGCAGCACTTTCAAAGTGCGGATAGTAAGTGGAATGATGTGATTGGTGGGATGCGGACGAAGGCGGAGCAGAGGTGGAATCGACTGATGGATCTGGTGGTGTCTTTGGAGGACTCTCTTTGGGACAGAATTGCATATTACGGAAAGGTAAGTGGTTAAGGTCGCCGCCTCACAATCGAAAGGTCGCTGGTTCGAGACCCACCATGATCAACTTTCACTTTGAGAGCCAGGAGTGATTGAAAAATTTTTGGGCCTTTGTCTATTACCTCTGGAATAAATTTGGTCTCATCAAATCTGTACTTATTCCAATTTTCCTCAAAGCAGCAGTTTTATCAAATTTTTTCGGGTTGTCCACCTCTTTTGGACTACTTTTTGTTTTAAAACACGTACTACATAGAGTTCGTTTATTGTCGAATATTTACTTCCAATTTTTGTTGGTAGTTGTTTCAATTTTACAGAAAGAAGGGTCCAGCGTCAAGCGTCTCTCATTTCTGGTTCACTTCTGGCGAAAAGAGGACGAGGCATCTAATCAACTCGATATTTCTTCCATCTCACATTGTTCGACTTCTAAAAATAGCAACCAAATGGGGGTGCGACTGGATTTCGCAAAAGAGTTCGAACTGGCTTTGGAACAGGAGAAAGAAAAAGAGGAGAAAATCAAACAAGCTGACAGGGAACAATCAGAATTGATTAAGATCAAAGAAACAAGGGTAAACATTTTTTTTTATTATTGTTCATTAGGTGGGGAAAATTTAAACCTACTCCAACTTATTTTTGCCATTTTACCCTAAAATCAGGAGCTGGGGCAATCTTTTCCACAGCAATTCGATCCCGCTCCGATACACCATTTTAGTACATCCCTTTTCTACAAATCGCGCAAAAAGTAATTTCTAAAGTTACTTTTGGATCCAATTTTGACTTTTTGAGAGGGGGGTTTGAGTGTGCGACAAAAATGGAGAATGTTTGACAGGTTTTCCATTGAAAAAATCACATTTTTTGTCGCACACTCAAACCCCCCCCCTCTCAAAAAGTCAAAATTGGATCCAAAAGTAACTATAGAAATGGAAAGCTTGTCAAACATTCTCCAAAATTAGCGAAAAATTATTAAGAAATTCGAAATTACTCTATGCAGGCTACGCCAAATGAGCCTATATAGGATAGATACTTTCTGCTGATGTATGTCTAGCATTGTTGATTTCAGATCTACACATCCCAAATTGTGCCAAACCTTCCCAACCCCACAACACAGTCAAAACCAATAGACCAAAACAATAGCTACCCTGCCTCCAATACCACTGCCAATTCCCACCAATGGAACAATAGTCATTTTGAACATGATAGAAACGTCAGTCAACGTTCAAATTACAAAGAAAAGGGAGGAGAAATTGACCTTTTGACCCCTCCAAAGATTGACAAATGTCTACAAGTGAACTTCACAGTGCCTGCACATTCTGCATACCTGTCCCAATCAGGATGTGTTAATATTACTTGCAGTCATTGCAAATGTGTGACCGAGTTACCCGAAGAGTTTATTGTAAATTTAGAGCACGCCAGAAATGCAACTAAGATTACGAATCCGAAAGGTGAAAACCGACCAAACTTCACAACCGAAAGCAAGTTGAACGAATCAAATATTTCAAGAGTTTCAACTGCCCATCAAAATCAATTAAAAAACGCGACGTTTACAAAGCTCTATGACTCATATTCGGTTTCGGGAGAAAACGTAGTCGAACAATCAAATTCTAAACTGCCAGTTAAATACGAGAAAACTTTAGACGAAGTGAAAGAAAAAAGTCAAAACGAATCAATTCCATCAAACAACACCTTAAATGATAGTACCAACACAACAAAGAGCCAAAATTTAGACGTGTCTGAAGCCTCAAATAGCCAGGAAAAACAGCGCACTAAGTTGTATAAGGATTACTTGAAGCAAATTAAAGGTCGCGAGTACAAAAGCATCCATGAAATCATGAAAGAAATTGATTCGAAGGTCAAGGAAGAGCAACACAATATGTCAGTTTTGTCAACTAGACGCAACAAGTCAACAAAAACTGAGGACGCTCAAAATCAAACTGCACCAAAACTGGACCTGAATAAAAATCAAACCCAGGCTATTGATTCTGAAGTACAGAAAGCAGAGAACCTAAAATCTGGAATGGATCGCGGTGCCGGAAATTTTAATGAACAAAATGAAAATTTTGGCGAAAATAAGACTATTTCACATAGCAACTCATTGCAAAAACAATCTCTTGTGTTCACCCATAGTCATGTATTGAACAATTTTCCAATTCCAAAAACTGTGCCGAGCATGGAAAATTGCGAGAACAAAGAAAACTCGGCACAAAAAACGTCCAACACAGAAAACCAGACGCAAAAATTGGAGCCAGAAAAGTGGAATGCATCTGATTACGTCAATGTTAACAAAGTTAAGAATTCGTCAGATATCATCTGTGCGCCAACTGTCAATTCGGAGGTCAATTTAACGCGGAAAAAATTAGATGAAGACTATATCTATTCTAATGACGTGACGGCACCGCCCATTGAAGTAAATAAAAGTCAATTCCATCAAAGTGAAACCCAAATTCCAAGAATTAAGCAAAACGGTCCTTATGTAGAAAATGCAGCGCACTTAGAAATCGATAATCAGAATCAGGAAAATTGGAATAAAAAATATCGGAATCATGAAAAACGAAATCAGGAAAATGGAACACAAGGAAACCAAAATTTCAATCCAGATAATCAGAATCAAGGCTATCAAATTTATGAAAATTGTAATCAGGAAAATCGGAATCATGAAAATCGGGATCAGGAAAATCAGAATCAGGAAAATCAGAATCAGGAAAATCGGAAACAAGAAATTTCGGTTGAGGACTCTGAAACTACTCAACCAATAGACTGCTTGAATGATGAAGAAGTCACAAGACTGACCATCAACGGTTTCATAACTTCCACGCCCAGATTAGGAAACAACGACAATCAAAATGACGACACACTCGTGAAAACAAATGACTGCAATCCTCAAACTGCACAGAATGGAAATGTGTCAATTTTGGAATTGGAGAAGCTAGCCCCCCAAGAAGTGTACGTCTCCAGTTTTCGACTGAAGATGCAGCAAACTAATCGAAAACCACTGCCAGAAAACTCTCAACACATAAATGAATCTAACGATTGAGGCACATAGCACGAATTAGGACAGTTAAAATACAAGTGTTACTAAACTCGGATAAAAGTAAAAAGCTTACTAATTTTCTGAAAGGTGCTCTGAACAATAATCTGCTTAGCCGGAATAAGTGTCACAAACCTAGTCAGTAACACTTAGTAATAAAGTTAATACTCCTGCCAAAATACTTGTTTCCTAATAAAATTATAATTATAATTTGAACTGCCAAAATTTAGTGTTTTCATCAAACTTAGTTTTAAAAGCAAAGCTAACAAAATGAAGGCAAACTACACACAGAGGCGAAGCTCATTCTAGGCTAACATCCGGAAAAAAAAATTTTTTTTCCAAAAATTATTTGAAAACAAACTAACAAAGAAAATGGAATACACCTATTTACTACCTAAATGAAGGTAGTTTTAATTAAATTTTCAAGACATCGAGCATGTCTGAAATTTACCATTCCTACAGATTTGACTATTCTACAATAGTACCCTGCGGAAATTGAGGTCTACGCTTTTTATTGCTAAACGCCCTTTTTGAGTTTAAGACTTTTCGTAAAATCACTTGTGCAGCCGAAAGCGGTCAGGCTGCGGTAGACTTGAAGCTAGAAGTCAATTCAGTGATCGTTTTCACACCATATGGCGAGGAAAGTGTTCTCTAGCTGTAGGTCTACCACATCCTGACCAATTTCGGCTGCAATAGTGGCACCACGTGAAATGCTACACCCAAAAAAAGCTTGTGCGAAAAAAAGCGTTGGCTCTAACTCCCTCGGATATATTGTTGATCACATTTTAGATTATCGAATGAGTAAGGTAATTTTCTTAAGTTTATAAGCTTTGCTTTCAACAGAAATTTGACTGAAACAACCCGAGAAAATTCTAGACGCAAAAATGGCTTCGAGTCACAGGATAGCTTCACTCAACAAAAAAAACTCAGTCCCAAATGAGGAGAAAACGGACTAGCTTAGACAGTTCTGGTAACATTTTTAGATCCTCGGCGAATCCCAGAAGTCAAAAAATAATTGTATATATTGTTCCGAATCAATAGCATTATAGCAACACGAGTATTCAAATATTTTTTTTTCAAACTATTTTTACAACTAATTTATGAAAAATTGTTTATAAAAAACGGTACATATTTAAAAACTGAGCAACTTTCATTTTTTCTAAAATCAGTTTGAACAAAAAATTTTAAAATCCCAGCTTTGAAAATGAACCGCTTTAAAAGCTTATTAGAAAATTTAATTTGAATCGAAAAAAAAAATCGGAAAACCATCCGACAGAAATTAAGATGGCGGAAAAACGACAAAATCAAAAGAAAACATTCATTCAAAAAATATGTTTCAAAAGCTCTTTACTTCCTTGCATGAACAGTAAAGTAGTTTTATTTGATTTTTAAAGAAATTGATCAAGTCAGCCTTCCATTATGTCAGATTGAGCAGTTCGGCAGTTCACAGGGAAAATACTAGTTCCCGATAAGAAGAAATAAATTTGCACTTGCAAGTGAAATAAAAAACAATAGAGAAAAGTCAAATTCAATGAGTAATCTTTGAAGAGTAGAAAAAAAACAAAGTTTTTTAAATATAATGATACCCAAAAAATTTTTTTATCTTGATTAGTATTGAGATGTTTGTTTAACATAGTTATTTCAATTCATTATCACTAACGAGTATCGTTTGCTGCTTTTTGTCATGCATTTCAGTTTACAAAGACCACTTTTACAAAAACAACATTTTTCTCTTCATCATTTCTCCTCATCATTTGAGAACATTGAAAAAACTTCATGCCTCGCAAACTCAGAGGATTCGTACGAAAACTTCTAGAGGCTAGATTCATGAATCCCTGGAAAAATCATGGGAGCGTCTCAGCATATGGTTGAGAGTTTCTCTTATAAGTGAGACGAAAAACTAACGTAGAAATTTATTTTTAAGTCAAAAATTCCTAGTGTACAAGTGTTTCTGAACTTATGTAGAAATACCTTTGGGATAACTAACGCGCCATATAATTTAGCCTTTTGAAGCCTAAATCTTTTAGGCGAATTAAATGTCGCCAAGCTGAAAATGGGCAAGCAATTTAGTGTTATCTTTATGTTACCAGACACAAAAAAAATTTATTTTTTTTTCGCATAGCGTAATAAAGTAAAGAAACCATTGGGATTTTTTATCGTTTTTGAAAAAAAATATTAACATTTAAATCTTAGCATTGATATTGGTTGACTTGCTCATGTTACTGCTTGATAGCTACCTAGTCCCAAACCGCTGAAAAACTGTCAGATGTTCTATGCCGTTTTTGCGAATAAAAATTTAAAAAAAAATTGAAACCTAACGGAAATACTAAACATAAATCTACAACTTCGATATTTACTTATAGACGAATCAAGCAAAAGAAAAACGAGACAAATCTAATTAATCTGGCAAAAAGTTTTAAAAAATTTTTAACAATAAATTTAAAAAACAGAAGCAAAGCAGAGCTTCGAACTACTTGCGACACAGCACAAACCAAACAAAAAAAGAGAAATCGAAAAACGCAAAACTATTGAGCATATCTAGAACTACCTAAACTTTCTCATATTTCAAAATAAGTTTGTTAAAAAAAACATGCCAAACAAGACAATTGGATAAAAATTAGCAGCGAAATTAAACCGACAACTTAAGAGCAGGCACAAGTTGAGCCAAAAAATCCGTTTTTAAAAAAACTGTTAGGAAATTTCAAACCGATTTTGAAACTACAAAATACGAACATAAACAACGATAATGAATTTAGCTTATGGCACAAAAAAGACCGTTAAATGGCAACTAAGCCAACAAAACATAAGCAAAAAAGCGAAAATTTGACGTTTTTAACAATTTACCGGACAAAAAATCAGTTTCATACATGCTTAAAAGCAAGGCCAGACCAGGCCTCGAATTCTAGACGGTAAGATGTTGACTGCTTTACCTCTAGGTTAAGTGAGATGGAACCTGGAAATTCGTATGGCTCCAAAATTAAGCAAATTCATTTTAAGACAAGTTGTATACGGTAAAAATTCTGGTACTTTTCAGTACTTTTGCTCCCGCATGAGTAAAAAGAAAATTCAAACTGTCGAGAAACGCAACAAATTTAAATCTGCTATCTTTTGCTGAGCGGCTGCTAATATGACAATAACTGTATACGCTATTGCAGAAGCTCGCCACGAGAGGGCGCAGTTAATTTATGCACAAAATTGGACCAATCGAACAATCGTTATCAGAGACGCTCGCCGCGAGGGGGCGTGATTAATTTATGCACAGATTTGAACCAATCAGAACCAAGGAATCTATATAAAACAAAATCTCCCCCGAGAGGGCGCAAATAAAATATGCACAATCAGCGACCAATCAGATATCGTATTCATTGCTCCGGCAAAAGTCTCAACCATTCTATCACGTCCTGTAACACAACCCAGTCTCCTCCTGTATCTATCTGTAAAATATCAAAACAGTCTGTGCAAATTTGTAAATTTATTCCGGTCACTAGTGGATCACCGAGTCGCAAAAATCTTTCAATTTTAGATATGTCGAAAGCTATAGATGATCCCATCATGGAAGAAAGTTTCCGAAGGTTACTGAACGAATTCGTACAGCCAGGCAGATTCCCTTTTGGTCGCTCAAGGCCGGTTCGCAGACAACAAGCGAAGAAACCGAGAAGAATGTCGTCGGCGGAGGCAGGTGACCGCCGGAAAAACAAATATGCTACCATAATCGCGAACTTTAGAAAACAGAGGATGATGGAAACTAAGCCGCTAAGTTTTAAGCCGACAAATATTAAGAAGCGGTTACACAACGACACAGCTTCTTACGAGCATAAGTTTTACATGCGGAATAGTTTAGTGCACATTGAACGGCGAGGCAAAAAATTTGAAAATTTTTGAAATGCAAAAAGTTTGACGCAAAGAATAAAAATCAATTAATGCCTCTAGTAGCAGTCAAAATGTTGCTGAGTCTTACAAAAAAAACGCAGAAAGTGCCTAATCCAAAAAGAAACAAGTTCCGAACAAGCTCAAAATCCAAGCCTTTGTCGTCTCAAGCATGTGGTACACCTAAGCCATATGCACTGGATAATTGATTGACATTGAGTTTATTATGAGGCAAGTTGAAACACGCGTAAAATTTTCATATTCGAAAACTTGTGAACAGCTTTCTGTACCGAAAAAAAATCTAGTACCCTGTTTTAACACCCCTGCTCATCGCACGGTTAACAATACTAGTTGCTGCAAAAAGTAACAGTTCAAAACACTTTGGGTCTAAAAACTCAAACTCAGAAGCGAAAGATTCGTTGACAACTTTGATATTCGTGAGGTCCATACGACGCCTTGCCTTTTCATGAGAACCCGCAAGTTTTCTATGATGTCAGATATAAACTAAATGGGGGCCTTTCGATAGTTTTGATTTCGACACTCTTCTCAGCCAAGTATGTTTAATGAGCTGCGGGACTATGCAAAAAAACTTTTTTAGTGAGCTGCTAAATATCTGAATGAGCTGCGGAGCCATTCAAAAATCTATTACTCTGAAAAATACGCCTTTTGGTCATCACTGAGATAGTTTTGGTTCTATGAGAACTGTTTTTTTTCATCCTGTGATCTGACTGCTTTCTTCTAATCTCCCTTCTTCATGTTTCTGAGCAGCAGTTTTTTCTTTTTTTTATATATCGTTTTTGACTTCATTCGCATTTTGATAACCCACCGTTTGTGATAACTTTCAAGTGAGCCTGATAACCGCTGGAGAGAGATTGTATGTTTGTTCGCTCCCAGCTTTTTGCCAATTTTTCCGAAAACTAAACCTTGGCTTTGATAAAAAAAAAGTTTTGAATTTTGTTTCTACTTGTTACGTTTACTTTTTCTGCAAACAGTATAAAGAAAAACTGAAAATGTGACTACAATAGAGGCAAAAACATCTAAATTTCCATTGAACAAACTTTTAAGTGCCGCCTAAGTAAAAGAAACGTTTTTCGGAAAGCAACATTGATTTAAGAAACTTTTAATTTGAAATCTTGAAAAATTCAATCTCTCAAACTTGAAATTTTGAAAAATTCAATCTCTTTAACTTGAAATTTTGAAAAATTCAATCTCTCAAACGTTCTGGCCAAATAGTGTATCATAAACTTTTTGAACGATTGAGTCTTAAGCACTCCGCCCCTCGGAAAAACTCAATTGATGTTTAAAATTTGCAAAATAAAATGAAAGTCAATAAACATTGATTGGAATCATTTATTTGAAAAACACTATTTAACACACAGGCAAAGCTGCACTTGGCTAACACTAGCTAGAACACAAAAAAGCAGCTCTGTAAAGTGCAATGAGAAAAGTTGAAATAAGCTGCGAATTATTCGACGTCTCGGCTTCGATCTGTGACCTAGAGATTATGAGTCTCTAACCACAAAACCCGGCTCAACAATCATTCAACATATAATTGAGGCGCACTACTCAATCTAAATAAAATGTCCTTGGATATTAATTGCCTCACTCTATGAATTTACATTAGGCAATATTAATTTTTTTTTGAAATTTTATCAATATTTGGAAAAGTTACCTGAAAGTTAAAACTGATAATTCAGCAGTTTGCTCTAATACAAGGAGTCTTATTTCGACTTTAGAACAATTGAAATGTTCATGAAGCTCAGAGATAGACATATTAGTCCATTCTAAGCTTCTTTCTAAATAAATTTGAGCTAAGCTTCTACTAACAACTGTTTATTAAACTGTTTATTAACAACAAGGCATGCAGGTTGAGCAATATAAAAACTTTTTCATTTCATGAAAAAAGTTTCATTTATTCAAAAAAAAACATTTTTTTTCCGCAGCAGAACCACAATTGTTCTTGTAAAAAGCACTGACCCCACTCAAACTCAGCCGTCAGTAAGCCCAAAACTATAAAAGACGGTTGAAAAACCCTATGATGCAAATGACTTTGAACAAAGAAAAAATTGAAAAAGGAGCTAAAATTTTTTTGAATCAAATCATAATAATTATTTACTTCTTTAAAAGAGGTCCTTGAGAAGTTGATTTTGGCCATTCAGAAACGTGGTGCCAATCGTAAAAAAGCAGACAGAAATTAAGTAGAAACGCGGACAGAAATAAAACTGACAGCCAATCAGCAGAAAATAATGTATGTAGAGAATGCGAGGTGGTATAGCCGATTCGGAAACTAAACCGGCAAAGTTTTAGCCGACAAACAAAAAAGTAGAAAACTGTGCACGACAACTAGCAGACAGAAAAAGCGACGGAAGCCATTATATCGAAAAAAATTGTAAAAAAATGAGTGCCAAAAAAACTGAATTCTGAGAAAATTGAATCTGTGTCACTTTTCTATCCCGCTGGTAATTCTTAATAATAACTCCACTCTCGAAGCTAGAAAAAACCACGTTTTTTGCAACATTTTTACTTTGTTAGAAAATAGCGTTTAAGTTTCTTTCAAAACTGGAAATGCACTGAACTTTAAAAAAAATCGCCAGTCAAACAGCGAAAAATCGAGACTAAGCGTGAAAAAGTTTAAATTTTGCTAAAAACGCCAAGTCTTATATAAGCGTATTCACTACTTTCATAACTTAAAAATTCCAAGCTATAAAAAGACACCAAATTGTTACGTCTCCGGAAGCACAAGAGTTCATCTTAACACATTTTCGCCTTTAAACGACCTTCTGTGAGGCGACTAACACACTTTTTTGAGCTACTCACGTAACTTAAAATTATTTTTTTTATCGTGAAAACCTGCTTCGAAATTTAAGCGAGCAAGTGCGGTGAAAAATTTGTTGGCACTGATATTGGTGTGCTGGTACTGATATGGCCTTTACAAATCAGGCTTCGCACTGATACTGTGGCCACCCCGTAAGTCCACTTCGTTTTAAACCACTTAGAAACCTATTAACACTTTTTCATTAATTCTGAAGGCGGAATAGCAGTTTGAAATGAATTTGGAAAGCTATCTTCCAATCCTTGGTTCAAGATCTTTTTGCTACTCGTATATCCAATTAGTAACCTTGCAAGCAATTAATCTGCTGGCAAGCACTACAAAACTCGGGTTTTACAACAGATCAATTCAGCTTTCAACAATAGTAACGAAATTATCAAACCGAATTTATCATGATCCAAAAAATAACTCTGAGCCAACTGTACTGCATTTTTACACCCGTAAAGCACGCCATAAATCAATCAAAGTAGTACTGAAGCTTCTACGCTTTCATAACATGTAAAGTATAAAGAAAAAATCGCCTGAATGAAAACACGAAAATCAAGCAAAAGCGTAACATCAAAAATCACTACAATAAATGAGTTTCCTCAGTCTTTTCTTGCATGAATTGATCTTTCTGGCGTTTTTAAGATACACTTGTAAAAGTTGTTCAGAAGTTGGAAAACGATCATCACGAGCTATCAGAAGATCAGCAGTAGACGTGACAACTATAAGAGTTATGAGGTGGTTTCGGCAGCAGCGGGGGTCGCGTCGCCGGTGGCTTCTTCCGCAGCGGGCTTCGGAGTCTCTTCCGTTTTGGGTGCTCCTCCGGATGTGGCGTCCTCGAGGTCTGGCATGTCGTCTTCATCGTCGGAGTCCGGCTCCTCGTCATCATCCATACCCATGCCCATCCCGTCCATTCCCATTCCTCCCATTCCACCCATTCCATCCCCCATGCCTGCCATCATGCTCGACATCTAATCACAACACAACAAAATCGTAAACAACAACTCATCTAAGACATTTCGTAAAAAAACTTGCAAATCCTCATTTCGTACAAAACATGGCAATATTTTTAGTCTCCTTCGACACTGTGAGGTCCAACAATCATTTTGAAAGTAAGAATTCCTAAACTTTGTTGGATTGCACATAGCGAACTCCATACTTTCGTTTGTTTAAAGAAAGCTCGAAAAAGGTGTAGAAAATAGCGGGAAAAATACCCTGGTATATATCAGTTATGTTAACAATAATAAATAAAAAGCTTACGTCATTGTCAAAATTGAAGTCGTCTCCGTATTCGTCATCGCTTTCGTCCTTCCATCGCCCAAAGTCCACTTTGATGGTGCTGTCCTGTAATTTAGAGAGAAATAAAATACTAATAGCTCTTTTGTTTTAGTGGCAGAAAAAGGTTTTCATCAAAATGAGCATTTATAGAAAGAGAAGACTCGACGTTCGTTTAACGGAACCGATTACCTAATTTCGGTCAAGTCAGCATTTTATAACTACATTGCGACAGAGGCGCAGCAGCGCTTCATAAACAAGCAAAAAAACGGCCAATTAGCACTAAAGACAGACAAATAAAAGAAAATTAAAAAATCTCGGTGAATTGGCAGACTCAAAACAAAACTGCTCCTATCAAGGCTTTCACATATTTTTCCAATTTTATTGAAAAACCTTCCCCCACACGCTATGTAGAACAGCCTGAGATATTTCGCCTCTAGAAACGAATTAATCAGACTAAACAGCTTATTTGAACTCAATTTGGCATGGTTTCTGGGGCGATCAAATTGCTGCACAAAGCACAAAATATATCGCACGGTAATTGCCCTATATTAGCCAAATTGGCTTTTTTTCAAACAGCTATAACTAAACTTCGGTTTTTGCACGTTTATTGTTGGAGAGCGTAATATTTTTTTGATAAATAAATCAATTTAAATTAGGAAAACAGAAGCCAAGGAAAAAAATGAGCGTGAACAAATCTGAAACTTAGGACGTGTCAAATAGCTGGAAATTCACGAGTAACTCATTGCAGCTGATCATCGTCAGCACAAGCAAAAACATCACTGATCTTCACAAAAAAAATCATAAGACGGTAAGTATAAGGCCCATGAACTTCAGTAGATCGTCAAATACAGTCGACAGAAAGTTGGTTAAGTGTCAATGAGCACAAGAAAGCTGACAGAGGACGACTTTTCTGAAACTTTCGAATATCGAAGAAAAAAGATTTCACGTTACATCTCTTCAATCTTCAAACGTCGAGAACTTTTTGTGATTAAATGCTTTTTTCATACACCTACCCTAATTAGAGAAACTGGATCTAAGTTGATTTTTATATTCCGCTAGGAATTTTTTTTCTAATGTAGTGAAATCTAAATGAAAAAGATTTCCTAGCGGAATATAAAACTCAACATAGATCCAGTTTCTCTAATTCAACATTAACTTGCAGTGAAATCTTAAGTTCTTCATACTGCATTCCTGGTAGATCAACTACCAATGCCGCTTTTCTTATTTAGACAATTGAGGAAACTATTTGCAGAAAATAAAAACCTTGAATATATTTGTTGAGCTCGAAAAAGCTTTCGACCGTTCCCAGGAAACTGATCCCATGGGCTCTGAGACAAAAAAGAGTTCCCAAAAATCTGGTACGACTGATAATGTGTTTGTACACCGAGTAAAAACCAGAGTTAGCCGGCCCCAGGGATACAGTGATTACTTCGAAATTAAAGTAGGCGTGCATCAAGGATCGGCACTTAGCCCATTGTTTTTTATAATGAGACACGGTATATGCAGATGACCTAAAGATATCAGCTGAAACGGAATCCCAGTGTACTGATAAGTTTAATACTCGGAATAAGGCTTTACAAAAACGAGGTATATATGCTAACTTGGATAAGACAAAGCAATTGGTTTCAGGCCAAAACTGCAATCCTGGAAAAATCACGAAACTTCCATGCGCTTGTTGTTTGAAGGGAGTCGGTGCCAATTTAATACGCTGAAATTATTGAAATCAAGGGTTGCATAAATATGCAGTGGTCTGGGGGAAATACCTCAACATAATTTAAATAAGTTTGTCCAATAACATCCAATAATCCTTCCAATTGTCGCTCAAATCAGAATGTTGCTCTACGGACCAATCAATCTGAAACTATGAAAACTGTCAAAGAGTTGTTCTATCTTGATGACATGACTTCCGGTCAAAGCAACGCAATACTTGCGGTATCGGTCAGAATAGCAGCTTTCTGGACGAAATGGCGGCAAGTTTCGCCTCTGCTGCTGAACAAAAAAATTGACATGATAACAAAGTGTCATATCTACGGAGCTTGTCTCCAGCTAAGTCTGATATACTGCTCCAAAACTTGGCCGCAGAACATATCGATTTCCAGCTCTCTTATGAGTGCTGATATGGAGCTCTGCAGAGGATTACAGGAACCTTTTATAAAGACAGAGTTACCAAACGAAGCTGTAATTAAAATGACAGGTCTTCTTGATCCGGACAAGCTACAACTGCAGTAACTGTTACGATAAGTTTGCCATGTTCACCGAAAAGAAAATAACCATGCGCTAAAATCAACAGACCGTATTTCAGTCCCAGGTATAGACCAGCAGGAACACCCAAAAACGCTGGATTGATTCTGTTAAAGAAGACCTGAAAACTATTAGCCTCAAACCAACAGCATAACTTAATCAATGGCTTTTAAAAACGTATCAATTCCGTTAAATAGCTTGAATTCTATTCAGAAAGCCCTCATCTGAATACTGCAACTTGTTATCTAGATATATTATTGCGTACGCAATTTCCGAATGTCCAACCCCGCCACAATCGGAAATGGACAAAAAACGCAGAAGTAGTAGTAGGGTAGCGAAATCTGAAATTGAAACATTTTTTGTGTTATTTGCAACTTAGTCATAAGAGAGTGGAATTCTCTCATAAAGAAATAGATTTGAACTTGAAAAAAATCTTGAATCAAACTGCCCATATTCATATTTGAGCGCCATCAAATAAATCACAAAACGACTAATAATGTGTTCGTACACCGAGTGGAAAGCCAGAGTTCGCCGACCCCAGCGATGACTTCAAAATTAGAGTAGGCGTGCATCAAGAATCGGCACTAAGCCCATTGTTATTTATACTGGGATATGCTATATGCAGATGACCTTGTGATATCAGCTGAAACGGAATCCCAGTATACTGATATAATTAATACTTAGAATAAGGCTTTATAAAACGAAGTATGTAAGTTAACTGGGATAAGACAAAGCAATTGGTTTCAGGCCAAAACTGCAATCCTGAAAAAAATCACGAAACATCCATGCGCTTGTTGTTTGAAGGGAGTCGGTGCCAATTTAATATGCCGAAATTATTGAAAACAAGAGTTGCATAAAAATGTAGTGGTCTGAGGGAAATACCTCGACATAAATTAAATAACTTTGTCCAATAACATCTAACAATCCTTCCAATTATCGCTGAAATCAGAATGTTGCTCTACGGATCAATCAATCTGAAACTTTGGACACTGTCAAAGAGTTCTGCTATCTTGGTGACAAGATTTCCGGTGAAAACAACGCAGTACTTGCAGCATCGGTCAGAATAGCAGCTTTCTGGAAGAAATGGCCGCGAACTTCGCTTCTGCTGCTGGATATATTTATTGACTTCATTGCAAGGTGTCATATCTACGGACCTTGTCTCCAGCTAGTTCTGACATACTGCTCCAAAACTTGGGAGACCATAGCGACAATCAGCTCTCTTAAGTGTGCTGATAAGAAAGCACTGCGTAGGATTACAGGAGTCACTTATAAAGACAGAGTTACCAACGAAGCAGTAATTAAAATGACAGGTCTTCCTGATCTGAACAAGCTACAACTGCGGTCACTGTTACGATATTTTTGCCATGTTCGCCGATAAAAAAATATAACCATGCGCTTAAATCAACAGTCCGTATTTCAGTCTCAAGGAAAAGACCAGCAGGAAGACGTAAAAAAAGTTGGATCGATTCTGTTTAATAGGACTTGAACACTATAAGCCTCAAACCAACAGACTGCCTTAATCGAATGGCCTGGAAAAGCGTATCATATTCCATATAAAGCTTGAATGCTACTCAGAATGCCCTCATATGCTATTGCTTACGCACTTTCCGAATGTCCAACCCCGCCACAATGGGAAAATGGACAATAAAAGATTTAGTAGTAGTGTAGCGAAATCTGAAATTAGAATTCAATGTCAAAACAAAAATGACAAACGTTTTTTGTGTTATTTGCAGTTTTGTAATAAGAGTGGAATTATCTCCGAAAGAACTAGATTTGAACTTGATTAAAAATCTTAAATCAAACTGCTTAACTTCAGATTTGAGCGTGATCAAATAAATCTTTTTTTTTCTGGGACAGAAATGCATTGAAAAAATCAACGCATCTATCCAAAGCGGATTAAAATTATCCGGACAAAACCATTCAAGCTTAAAACTTAGAACAAAATGAGTTCAATTAAGAAAAAATATGAAGATTAAACTAAGATTAATAATAGGGCGCAAATTATTTTGCGAAATTCGGTCCAAAAATCCTAGCCCAAAAAAGGAGTGAATGTTGGATTTTGTAATAAATCCAGAATTACGCTTCGACTACCGCTGACAAAAGTATATCAAAAAAGGCTTCTGTTGACAATTTTAGTGTAGCCAATTAATTCCAATTTTCGAGCTTTAAACACTTTTCGCTGAACAACGATCTGCCATACAATTTTTTCGAGTAGAAAAAAGCATAAAACACCGTCAAAAAGGCAATCGCATAACTATTTTGAATTAGTTTCAGCTTTTAGGCCAGATTTCTTCATAGCTTTAAAACGTTGTCCAATAAATTTGTTGAAAACTATAAACATTTTTTAGAAGGCTTGAAAAAACTCACAAAAGAGTCACTTAAAAAGTGAACATGCAAAAAAAAAGACTTTAAAGGACGGTTTCCTTGGAAGGGACTAAGTGGCCATCCTCCCCCACATAACCGAAGTGGCATTGAACGGAAGCGGTCATCTAATTGCTAATGCCGCCCGCAGCGTTTCAAATATTGATCGGTACGCATTATAACCGCTACGCCCCCAAAAGGATGAAACAATTTTTACTATGAAAAATCATGACCTTCCATGACTCATCTAACTATAATCCATTTAGATGGCCATGATCTTTAGCAACCCTTTCCGATATAACAGTTTCTGTCTGAAATTTCGAAATAGCAGCTGCACAGAGAAAACAAAGTGTACATGAATTTGGTTGGTAAACAGTGACCTTGGCGAACATTCTTAAACAGTGAACATAAAACACAATTTTCGACTGTGTATTGATAATCATAAGCGGGGCAGTACAACAGTACCGAAAATAAAAAAGTGTTCAACAGTGCCGAAAACTGATGATTTTCGGCACTGTTGAACAATTTTTATTTTCGGCACTGTTGTACTCCGGCACTGTTGAAGGCCCCCGTATAAGCAAACACGTATGTACTGCTGTGCCTTCCTGTCCTTTCAGTACTCACTTTGACTTTGTGTTTGGTGAGTCTGGGCCAGAAGGAGTGGTCGTCAGAGGAGGCTTTCTTCAAAGTACACAGAATGTCTCTGTCCGAGTGTCTCACTTTCACATCCTACACAACAAGAACAACATAAACAAATCTAATATCCTTATCAAACCAACAAGTCAATCAATAATTGCAAATAAATCTATCTATTAATCAGTTAAATAATTACAGATCACTATCATTCAACTGATAGTAGCCAAATTAAATTAATTGCTGCAATTAACTCCCAATCGATCGAACTCTAACATCGCTCTTTTTGAACCCTATTCCTATTGCAAATAAATTACCAAACTATTGGCCAAAATGTCCTTTTTTTCGGATACTTTCCATTAAATCATACAGCTATTTCATCAAACCTAAACCCAAACGACTATTAGCTATTTTGAGGGTCTAAATTTGGTACTTTCAGGCCGAAAATTTACTGGAGGGTCTAAAATGAGAAATATTTTCTTATTGTTACGAGTTATTTAACAAATTATATCGAAGTAAATTCACATCACTAATGTATAATCACGCTACTTATATCAGCGAAACACCACCCATATCTTCAAAAAAAAAAGCCCAAAAGAGTTCTAAAGCAAATATGCAGATCAAACATCAACTGCTGTGGTCACTTACACTTTTTACTTCTTTGAACAGTTCGATTTCTTTAACTAGCTCAGTCCCTCCCTTCTTCGTGCAGCTAAAACAATAAAAAAAAACATTACCATTTGGAGCAAAAAAATTTCACTTGATTGCGAGCAGACGTAGCTTTGATTCAATAGCACTTTGTTCGTTAAAATCACAAAATTCAATTTGAGTAGCACGATTGCCTGCTCTCTACGATGGCCCAAAAACTGTAATCTCGCCGTGTAAATGTCTTCAAATGATGCATCCAGTAATAATTTAAGAAGCCAGTTGAATAACCGAGAAAGTCAACAACCCACTCTACCCTAACAAACTCAGGACGCAGACCATTTTTGCAGACGGTTCCAATTCGAGCTCGTGTAAAAATCACCCCGCCCCTCCAATTACATCCGGCAAAGCGTACCTTTTGACGATTTAAACACCTCACTTATTTTCACGATCACTTTTATTGGTACCATTTCTGTTTATACAATTTAGCTCCATTAAAAACACAGAGGCGAAGCGGAGCTACACAAAACAAGAAGGCATCTAAACTGGAGAAAATCGAGAAAAAAAAACCGAAAATGTCGAAAAAACTAAATCAATCAAAATGCATAAAACTAGTTTTGAAACAAAAACATGCCAAGATAACACAATGTTAAAATATCAAAATATCATCGCAAGAACGTATCAAGCAGTAATAAAGCCAAAAAGACCGTAGCAAAAACCCTATTAACTGAAAAAGTAATCAAAACAAAAACACACAAAAACTTATTTCGTTCGTCAAGTGACGCAATATGAGGCCACTAAGCCAAGATGTTATGAGCCGAAACTAATCGAACTGGAAAAAAAAACAAAAACTTGAAAAAAACATCGCCATTAAAGCACACACACATACACATAGAAACTTTTTTTTTTCAAATTACAACCAACATACACAAAAAGCAAATTTCTAAAAGAACAGATATTTTAAATGCTAACATGCACAGCAAGTCTGTTTCAGATTTGTTGCTAAGAGAGGCTTCCATGTCATGTGAACAAAGCTATTTACATGAAAAAAATCTAGTACCCAGTTGCAATTCACTATCGCAAATGTAACAAGTCTAAGCAGCTATAGTCCAGTATTTTTTGCCATAAACTATGCACATGATTGGCAACTAAAATAATATTGAAATCGCCTTGTGTAATTGCGGAAAACAAAAAAAAGTTCAGATGATATATTTCTGGACTCGATCAAGTGAAAGATTTGAGAACATATTCAATCTGGAACTTTGAACTTGAAAACTGTGATAATTTCAATGTCTCGATTGATTCTATTTTTTCTATTCCGGTTGTATAAAAATTACTCACTTTTTGAAGAAACGCCAAAAAAAACTTCCAGATCTTTCAAGTCCCTTTTCTTTTGAGGAACCCTCCGAAGAAGAAGACTTGAACTTTTTACAAAGAGGCTAAGTTACACTTCGCAACCTAGCGACGAAACGTCAAAAACAGCTCTTGAAGGCAAAAAATACAAGCAAAAATAAGTCTTCAAAAAACTTTCTCCGATCCGAAAACAAACCGCCGACCTAGAGTCCTACGTTCTGTGCTCTGATAAATAAAAAGACACAAGTCACTAAGAAAGTGGACATCGAACACATACTATACAGCAAAAGTGAACACTTTGTTGCGACTTGGGTTAGCGGAAAAAAGGATTCCGAGTAAAACACTAAGCTCGCTACATCGTTTGAGTGAATAGCTGCGCTTTATACCTCAGTTAAGACAATTACAATATGACTACTCTCACTCAGTCAACTCCTAACTTAGTCAACCCAAAGGAAAATCTTTGCCAGCTGAATAATGAAACATGCATTTCGCAATTTAGGGCAATTTTCAAAGAGCAATACCATGGTTTTCTTCTTCATTGCGGATTGGATCACTTTTTGACCCCCAACATCGGATACACAAAAAAGTAACACTAGCGTTTTCTTGCAAGTTTTTCTGTTGCTTTATGTCAGTTCTGACATACCAACCATGAGGTATGATTTTTTGTGTGGTACTGTTTTTAGACTGATGATGGCGTGAAAGCCGAAAACGTTTTTGAATAGATTATTTATATTGATCCCTATTTTTTTCTACCAAAAAGTAGCTAATTCGTACATCTGCCGGCCGAAAAAACAACAACTGTATAGTGTCTCACTTGTTAGAAGATGTTACCGTCCTGACATTTTACAGAGCAAAATGGCCTTGTTTTGAAAAGTCTATTTAAACTGTTTTAAAACACCTTGTTTTAAAACGTGCCATCCCTGACTCACTTATCTTTTACATTCGTCGGGTACAGTCAATGCCATTACCTTCCTAAAGCTGAATGAACCAACTAACAAGTAGGCCAGTTGAACTTGCTCTTGGCCCATTTTACTCATGAAACTATTACGAAAATAAACATCCTCCTGAATCCTCATTAATAAAGCAACATATAGATTATTCCCAAAAGATTACTTAGCCAAATATAAACTACCAACTTTCGTCAAAACCAACCCATACCCCCTTCCCTCTATAAAGACCGGAAATCGATGCTATTGTAAATGCTTGTAAAAGAATTATTGGTAAACTACACGGATAATTTATTACCGGAAGAAAACTTATCCTGGGCACGTGCCCCTCCGCTATGTTCAACAGCTGCCTCAATAAATAGAGCCACTCTCAAGACATTTCAACAGCCAAAAAAGAGCTCATGAAAAATCATAATTATTCGAATAATTCGTCAACGAGAACGACACTTACACTTCCGACAATAGTTGTTGAAGAAACAAGATACTTTGACTTTCAATGGTCTTGTGGATGAAAGAATTTCTACGTCGCTCAAATTATTTTGTAGTTGTTTTCGAGAGTTTCAAGTTCGAAATTACGCTCAATCATGCAATTTTAATCCATAAGATATTTTACTCAACGGTTGGGGTCTATACAACATAGATTCAAATCTGACGAACAAAGAAGGATCAGCATTTACTTTGTTGCAATTTCTTACCGAAAAGTAAGTTTATTTTCTTTGGCTTCCACGGTAGGGTTCGATGTATCTGTAACTTCAAACGTGATAACGACCTGTTCTTTACTTTGAGCCCACATACACGGTACAGCAGCCATTTTAACACACCTGCAAAAATAACACAGCTAAATTAGACTATAAGCACCGCCTCTAACACATTTTTATGGCCGTGGACAGCGTCTACATCAGCTTTTTCTATTATAGTCTCCCGATATATTTTTAAAACAGACGAAAAAGAGCCGATCAAATGGAGGAATTACATGGTGTTTAATACTGGTCAACATTGAAAACGCATCAAAGACTTGAAAATTTTTAAAATGTTTGTGAAATCGGTTGAAAATTTTTTTTCGGGTTACGTTTCTTCAAAACGAACACGTAACTCGACATGAGAAAAACTATAAGTTATGTATTACAAGTTTCGTTGTTTTGGTTAGTTGTATTTGTCAGTTTGTGACATTCGACCAGAATGGCCTGAATGAATAGCAGAAACGAATTTTCTTTTGGAGCAGTTTTGTGGGAGAATTGGCTGTTTCGAGGACTTAACAGTAATCGTTCAAATGAGCGAATTGGGAGATGTCGGTTTTGATTGAAATGTGAAAATTTAAAAATTCGTTCGTTTGTTTGTGAAGACACGTGACAATTTTTTTTTCGCGAACACTGAAAAACCGCGAAAATTAGAACAACGGTTTTCGCTGATATAACACAGAAGTGCGACTAACGAGAGAAACGACAGAAATTATAGTCGAAGATATTAGCGGAAGAGCATTCCGAATTGTAACGATTGTACAGCTACAATCGTTACGGAGCAATGCCCGAGAATCAGGAGGGCTATTGGGAGGATTCTGCTACCCTTCCTAGTGGTCATGAAGTTGACTCAAAGAAATACAAGAAACCAAAGAAAAAGAAGAATAGAACCTAAGAAAAAGCCAAAAATAACTTAAAACATTCACCAAAAAACCAAAAACAGTGAAAGTAAAAAAACAGTAGAAATCATCCCACCAAAAAAAAATGTAATCCCATTCTCCCGTTTGTTGTTGACAGACGTATTTTTGCTACAGACATTTATATCAAACAGAATCGTTACGATCAAAATTTTGGCCTGTTTCTGGTGCCTGTACTGTAGGGTTGTTTCAGTATTTAAGCACACTAATGCAAAGTTGCGCTCAATGCGGAAGTGTCACGGTATTAGAGTGGAAGACTGATCCGGCAAGCAAGTCAAGGAGCAGTAGGAAGGGTCTCAAGGACAACGACATTCGACTGCTTGGTAATTTTAACTTATTGTGTATCCCTTTTGGTACGATACCAACCTGTGGGGTACTCGACAGTGCTTGCACTGTAGTGACCCTCCATGGGATTGCAAATTTCCGAGTTAAGCACCTGAATTCGGATATTGAACTGCCCCGTAGGGTTTTTATAATATAATAACTACTATCTATACTACTCGCACTAATATTCTTATACCGTTTTTTAGTCAAATAGTCCGTAAACAGACCAAACTTTAAGAACAAAATAGTGTTAATTTTTGACCAACACAAATCGCAATTTTTGAGATATCGATACTTTTTGAAATGGAAAAAAGTTAGTGAGTTACAGCGTAATTTGACTGGTATAACTAAAAGTACTGGTTGAATTAAGTGCGGACGTGGTTGGAACTAATTGGGTCAGAAATCCAATTTTTCGTGATTTTAAAAAAAAAACGCCACAAAACAAAATCTTTTCTCGAGTTCTTTGAGTTTGTTATTCGGACAACAGAAAATAGTGAATCGACCGGTTTTAAAACCCGTTCGCCAATTATCTTCCTGACCCCGGTGAAATCGAATTTAACGAGTTTGATTTAGTGGACTCATCAATCCGGAGGGCTTCAAATAGCATTATTTTTTGCAAATTTTTTCAACTGAAACGTTTTGGATCGGGTTTTTGGCATTGAACTAGAAGAGTATAGACCTTCTGAATCGGATCAAAAAATTTCAGTCAAAAAAACAAGAATTGTGGAAAAAGAGAGGTGGAACCTATATTTTTGAAATTTTTTTGAGTTTGGAAGGGTTAAGGAACCTAGAAAACGACAGTCGAGTCGGAAATAGGCTCATAGAAAGACCCCTCGCAGTTTGGAGAAATTGTTAAATAAGCAGCTTAGCTTCATGCCGGAGGGGTCTTAATCCAGAAATAAATCTTCCTAATTAGTTCATTTTGTATAAAAGGCTCTGAACTGTGTTGGGTTCTGCATAACAGTCTCGGGTTAACCCTTTTGCCAATTTGGAGAGTTCCTGTTTTTTGGCAATCCGGAGGGGTCCCAGTTCGGAGGAGTCATGTATTTTGCAAATCCCGAGGGCTCCCAATTCGGAGATGTCATGTTTTTGCCAATCAGGAGGTGTCCCACTTCTGAGGGGTCCTGTTTTTTTCCAATCCAGAGGGGTCCCAGAACGCCGATCCGTCGACTAAAAAAAGTTCTTTTACGAACGCAATCATAAAAATCCTAATGCGTACAAAAATGAAAATAAGAAGTTTCGTGAATAGAATGAAGATATAAGGACAAATAGGCAGACCAAACAAGACAGGAAGCCAGTGACTGCACTGAATCAGTAACTTGCATTTGAAGAAAAACTGAAAATACCGTAGTAAAACCAAACCCGGAGATTCGCGATTTTAGAGCTAATCAAAAACAGAGTTGGACACTGATTCATTTGGATTCGAATCTAAAACAGTTTCTTGGAAGAGTGGTTGAATTGAGAGTTGCGGAAAACAAAAAAAAGTTCAGATGATATATTTCTGGACTCGATCAAGTGAAAGATTTGAGAACATATTCAATCTGGAACTTTGAACTTGAAAACTGTGATAATTTCAATGTCTCGATTGATTCTATTTTTTCTATTCCGGTTGTATAAAAATTACTCACTTTTTGAAGAAACGCCAAAAAAAACTTCCAGATCTTTCAAGTCCCTTTTCTTTTGAGGAACCCTCCGAAGAAGAAGACTTGAACTTTTTACAAAGAGGCTAAGTTACACTTCGCAACCTAGCGACGAAACGTCAAAAACAGCTCTTGAAGGCAAAAAATACAAGCAAAAATAAGTCTTCAAAAAACTTTCTCCGATCCGAAAACAAACCGCCGACCTAGAGTCCTACGTTCTGTGCTCTGATAAATAAAAAGACACAAGTCACTAAGAAAGTGGACATCGAACACATACTATACAGCAAAAGTGAACACTTTGTTGCGACTTGGGTTAGCGGAAAAAAGGATTCCGAGTAAAACACTAAGCTCGCTACATCGTTTGAGTGAATAGCTGCGCTTTATACCTCAGTTAAGACAATTACAATATGACTACTCTCACTCAGTCAACTCCTAACTTAGTCAACCCAAAGGAAAATCTTTGCCAGCTGAATAATGAAACATGCATTTCGCAATTTAGGGCAATTTTCAAAGAGCAATACCATGGTTTTCTTCTTCATTGCGGATTGGATCACTTTTTGACCCCCAACATCGGATACACAAAAAAGTAACACTAGCGTTTTCTTGCAAGTTTTTCTGTTGCTTTATGTCAGTTCTGACATACCAACCATGAGGTATGATTTTTTGTGTGGTACTGTTTTTAGACTGATGATGGCGTGAAAGCCGAAAACGTTTTTGAATAGATTATTTATATTGATCCCTATTTTTTTCTACCAAAAAGTAGCTAATTCGTACATCTGCCGGCCGAAAAAACAACAACTGTATAGTGTCTCACTTGTTAGAAGATGTTACCGTCCTGACATTTTACAGAGCAAAATGGCCTTGTTTTGAAAAGTCTATTTAAACTGTTTTAAAACACCTTGTTTTAAAACGTGCCATCCCTGACTCACTTATCTTTTACATTCGTCGGGTACAGTCAATGCCATTACCTTCCTAAAGCTGAATGAACCAACTAACAAGTAGGCCAGTTGAACTTGCTCTTGGCCCATTTTACTCATGAAACTATTACGAAAATAAACATCCTCCTGAATCCTCATTAATAAAGCAACATATAGATTATTCCCAAAAGATTACTTAGCCAAATATAAACTACCAACTTTCGTCAAAACCAACCCATACCCCCTTCCCTCTATAAAGACCGGAAATCGATGCTATTGTAAATGCTTGTAAAAGAATTATTGGTAAACTACACGGATAATTTATTACCGGGAGAAAACTTATCCTGGGCACGTGCCCCTCCGCTATGTTCAACAGCTGCCTCAATAAATAGAGCCACTCTCAAGACATTTCAACAGCCAAAAAAGAGCTCATGAAAAATCATAATTATTCGAATAATTCGTCAACGAGAACGACACTTACACTTCCGACAATAGTTGTTGAAGAAACAAGATACTTTGACTTTCAATGGTCTTGTGGATGAAAGAATTTCTACGTCGCTCAAATTATTTTGTAGTTGTTTTCGAGAGTTTCAAGTTCGAAATTACGCTCAATCATGCAATTTTAATCCATAAGATATTTTACTCAACGGTTGGGGTCTATACAACATAGATTCAAATCTGACGAACAAAGAAGGATCAGCATTTACTTTGTTGCAATTTCTTACCGAAAAGTAAGTTTATTTTCTTTGGCTTCCACGGTAGGGTTCGATGTATCTGTAACTTCAAACGTGATAACGACCTGTTCTTTACTTTGAGCCCACATACACGGTACAGCAGCCATTTTAACACACCTGCAAAAATAACACAGCTAAATTAGACTATAAGCACCGCCTCTAACACATTTTTATGGCCGTGGACAGCGTCTACATCAGCTTTTTCTATTATAGTCTCCCGATATATTTTTAAAACAGACAAAAAAGAGCCGATCAAATGGAGGAATTACATGGTGTTTAATACTGGTCAACATTGAAAACGCATCAAAGACTTGAAAATTTTTAAAATGTTTGTGAAATCGGTTGAAAATTTTTTTTCGGGTTACGTTTCTTCAAAACGAACACGTAACTCGACATGAGAAAAACTATAAGTTATGTATTACAAGTTTCGTTGTTTTGGTTAGTTGTATTTGTCAGTTTGTGACATTCGACCAGAATGGCCTGAATGAATAGCAGAAACGAATTTTCTTTTGGAGCAGTTTTGTGGGAGAATTGGCTGTTTCGAGGACTTAACAGTAATCGTTCAAATGAGCGAATTGGGAGATGTCG